TATGAGATGAATATAAAAAAGGGATGAAGAGTTAGAAAATAAAGAAAATAATAATATTACTTTCAAATCCACCAAGACAAGTAATGAGGACAATGATGAAGAAGAGGAAGAGAGTAATGAAGAACTTACTTTCATCACAAGAAGATTCAAAAAGTTCCTCAAGAATCAAGGTCCCTACAAGAAAGAAGAAAACTCAAGAAGAAATAGTGTGATTTGCTATGAATGCAACAAACTGGGGCATATCAAGCAAAATTGTCCTACTTTGAAAAAGGCATACAAGAAGGATAAGAAAGTGACAATGAAGGCCACTTAGAGTGGTAGTGATAGTGACTCTGATCATGAGGAAACCAAAGAAGTCACAAATCTTTGCTTCATGGCATGAACTTCATCCCATGTGACGAAAATGTAAATTTATTAGATGAAATATATGATGTCATGCATGAAATACATAATGATTTGCTCACCATCACAAAGAAATATAAAGAACTAAAGAAAAAGCTTATGGATGTTTCTAAAGAGAATGACACTTTGAAAATTGAGAATGAAAAACTCAAAGTTCAAAATGCCAACTTAAGAAAGGAATCTCAAGACTCCTCCTTATTTAAAAAACTTAAGGAAGAGATCATAGATTTGAAAAAGAAAAATTGTGACTTGAACAAAGTAGTTTCAAATTTCACTCAAGGAAGTGAAAAATTGGAAAAACTTTTATCAAGCCAAAGATATGTGTTTGATAAAGCCGGATTGGGTTTTAATAATCATTCAAACTAAAAAGCCTAATTTCTTTTTTAAAGAATCCAAATAAAGTTTTGTTGGCAAGACTTGCTATCTTTGTCACAAAATAGGACATCTTGCATATAATTGCTATGCTAGAAGCGCACTACAAAATAGGGCCATGAACAAGACTCACACTAACTATAATGGACCCAAGACTAAGTGGGTACAAAAGGCCAATTATTGATTGTCATGTGTAGGTTTATTTCAAATCTACTCTCTAGACCAACAAGTGATTTCTTGATAGTGGATGCCCAAGACATATGACGGGAGACAAATCCAAGTTTGCACAATTATCAGAAGAGGATAGTTGATATGCAACATTTGAAGACAATGCCAAAGGAAAAATCACTAGCATTGGGAATGTGGGTAAGATATTTTCACTCCAAATTGAAAATTTCTTGTTGGTAAACAATTTGAAACATAACTTGATTAGCATATGTAAATTTTGTGATAGAGGCTATAGGGTCACCTTTGAAGCCAATAGTTGCAAAGTATAAAATATAGTAGAAATTGCATATTATTTATTGCTAAAAAGAATTAAAAATGTGTATGTTGTGGATCTTGATGACCTATATGATCAAAATGTCAAATGTCTAGCCGTAGTTAAAAATGAATCTTGGCTTTGGCATAGAAGACTAGGACATTGTAGCATGGATACACTTTCTAAACTTGTTAGAAAAGACCTTATAGAGAACTTGCCCAAAATCAAGTTTGAAAAGGACAAAGTTTGTCAACCTTTTCAACTAGGAAAGCAACGCAAAAGTACTTTTAAGCCTAAAAACTACATTTCCACAACAAGGCAACTAGAACTCATTCACATTGATTTATTTGGTCCATGGGACTTTTGTTAGAAGTGATCATGGTGGAGAATTTGACCAACACACGTTTAAGAATCTTGGTCTTCATAAGGATATGGACATGAATTCTCCACTCCTAGAACACCACCTCCAAAATGGTGTCCTAGAAAGAAAGAAAAGGACTATCATAGAAATGAGTAGAACCATGCTTCATGAATATGGCCTAACAAAATACTTTTGGGGTCAAGCCATAAATTGCTCTTGTTACATCCTTAATAGAGCTTTAATTAGACCAATTATTAAGAAAACTCCTTATAAGCTATGTAACAATAGAAAGCCAAAAAATTGGGTATTTCAAGGTATTTGGATGTAAGTGCTTCATATTAAATACAAAAGACCACTTAGGAAAGTTTGATGGAAAGTCAGATAAGGTTATATTCTTAGGTTATTCCATCCATGGCAAAGCCTATAGAGTCTTTAACAAAAGAACTCTTGTAGTTGAAGAGTCCATGCATGTTGTCTTTGATGAGTCTGATCCTTTAACCATTAGAAATAAAGATGAAGATGATGAGGAGTTGGACTTAGAACTTCAAATAAGCAAATTTAACTTAGAAGATGACAATAATCCTAGAAAGGATGATGATGAAGAGAATGACCCACCTAGGGACACAAATGAACCTACTTCACAAAAACTTCCTGGGGAATATAGAAGAGTCACACATAATCCTCTAGATCAAGTCATAGGAGATCCTTCACAAGGAGTCAAAACTAGATCAAGGCTCACGACCATATGTAATAATATAGCATTTCTTTCTCATATAAAACCTAGGATCATAAATGAAGCCTTAAAAGAAGAATCTTGGATTATGGCCATGCAAGAAGAACTAAATCAATTTAGAAGGAATGAAGTATGGGAACTAGTTCCAAGACCTAAAGACACTTCCATTAGAGGCACAAAATGGGCATTTAGAAACAAACAAGATGAAGAAGGAAAAATCACTAGAAATAAAGCTAGATTGGTGGCACAAGGATATAATCAATAAGGAATAGACTATGATGAAACCTTTGCTCTCATAGCTAGGCTAGAAGATATAAGAATGCTACTTGCATATGCATGTCATAAAGGTTTTAAACTGTACCAAATGGAGGTTAAGAGTGCCTTCTTAAATGGCTTCATTTTAGAAGAAGTATATGTAGAACAACCACCCGGTTTTGAGGTTGCTGACAACCCTAATCATGTCTATAAAATCACTAAGGCATTGTATGGTTTAAAACAAGCACCTAGAGCTTGGTATGTGGGACTTGGTAAGTTTCTTTTAGAAAATAGATTCTCAATGGGTAAAGTAGACACTACCTTGTTCATAAAACATGTACATGAGGATATTCTTATTGTAAAAATCTATGTTGATGATATTATATTTGGTGCTACAAATGATAAACTATGTGATGATTTTCCTAAATGCATGAGAAATGAGTTTAAAATAAGCCTAATGGGTGAACTAAATTTCTTTCTTGATTTGTAAATAAAACAACTAAAAGAAGGAATACTTATAAGCCAAAACAAGTGTGCTACAGTCCTATTGAAGAAATTTGGACTAGATAACTCAAAATCATATAGTACACCTATGAGCATATCACTAATACTTGACAAAGTCAAAAAAGAAAAAAAATATGTGGATATAAAACTTTATAGAGGAATGATAAGTAGCTTACTTTATCTAACAGCTAGTAGATGAGAGAATATTTAGATGCCTTGTGGGGACAACAAGTTTGGTATTATGGTATCCTAAGAGTTCATCTTTTGAACTCATTAGCTATTTAGATGCGGATTTTTCAAGAGCAAAGTCAATAAGAAAGGCAGTAGTGCCACATGTCAATTTCTTGGACACTCACTTGTTTCTTGATTTAACAAGAAATAAAATTTGGTTGCCTTTTCTACGGCCCAGGCTGGATACATTGCCACCGGATGTATTTGTGCACAAGTTTTCTGGATGAAGCAAACTTTAAAAGATTTCAATATAGATTTTGATCACATTCCCATTAGATGTGATAATACTAGTGCATAAATCTCACCAAGAATCCAATTTAACACTCTAGGACTAAACACATTGAGATTAGACACCATTTTATTAGAATACACATTCAAAATGGTGATATTGAACTTGAGTTCATCAGGATCGAGGATCAACTAGGGGACATCTTTACCAAAACTCTAAACAAGGAGAGATTTAGCTCAATTAAGACAGAATTAGGAATTATAAATCCCTATGAATAGAGATTAAAATGGAAGGGATGAAGGAGAACATGTAGAATTCAAAAGGGAGGATGAACCGGCATACTGGATAGGGTATCTGCCATGCTAGATAGAGTGAACTGGAATACCGGATATACAAACTGGCATATCGGATAGAGTGTCATGACCAAAATACCGATAGACAAACTGGCATACTGGATGAGCCTCTAATGCGAAAGGTTAGGTTTTGTTTTGACTTTTATTGAAAAACCCCTCATTCCTCTATCCCATAAAACCATCTAAAACTAAGTCCACTCCCCTTTAAAACCCTAATCTCATATCCCTCTTCTCACTATTGCCTCTATCTCTCTGTGTGTGTTTGTCTCTCTCTCTCTCTATTTGCTCAACTAAAACATATCAAACATCATAAAAACCCTAGATTCAAGATTCCTCTACCATGACTTCAAAGAGAACTAGCAGAGTTAAGGAATCATTTGCTGCCCAAGAGAGAAGATCCAAGAGAAAACTGACCTAGCCTTCTTGAATGAGCAATCTAGAAGTAGGTGGTCAAGGTATGAACAAAGAGATTTTTCTGAGAGTCAACCTATTAAAATTGATGACCTAGACTATGTGGGTGTAGATGAAATGTTGAGGAATACCAATTGATTGCCCTTTTTGGGACTTGATGACGTTTATTATCCTAATCTTGTATGTAGATTTTATACAAATCTATATGTGATGTAATCAGGGACTATCAAATCCATGGGGCAAAGGAAAGTAATTAAGCTATCACAAATGAAATTAGCTAAGATTTTGGGGGTTCCTAATGAAAAAGAAAATCTTTTCTTTTGGGAAAGGGAAAAATTGAAGAACTTTGTTGATGATGAAGCCATTTGTTTGAATATTCTATTTGGAGAAAGAAATGTGATGGTATAGTAAATTAAGGCAATGAACATGCTCCCAGTCCTTAGGGTTATCAACTAGATCATGATCAATACTTTTCTCCCTCTAGGTGGTAACTACAATGAGGTGACTCAGTTTCAAGTGTTCTTGGTTGTGTGCAATTTGACTGGAAGAAAATCAAATTTGCCCTTTATTATCATGCAATTTATACAAACGATTGAAAGAAGAAAACATCAAGCTCCCTTATGGTATGCTGCTTACCAGGGTCTTTAAATCTTTTGATATTGATTTAGCACACGAGGAGCGCATTGCAGGAAATACATTCTTTGATAGTACCACACTTAAGAAAATGGGGATTGAGACTCTTCTTGAGTTCCACATTAGGCGATTAAAGGAAATAGAAGCAAAAAAAAGAGCTAAGAATATGGATGTGCAAGACAATGTAGGAGAGATGGAAGGGGAAGAAAAGAATCTCTCACACACAATGGAGATTCAAGACTTTAATGATGTGGTTGTACAAGATGAGGGTGGATCTAGACCTCGACGTGTCACCTATGAGGAGTTTGATAGCTTGAGTAGCTCAATGGCGACCCTCACTACTAGTGTGCCAGGCTTGCACACTAAGCTTGATAAAATGATGGTCTTTCTCTGGTTGATGATGCATTCATTGACATGGGCTTCTAGAGGGTCCTGGACCATTAGTCACAACTAGCATTGACTAGGATGTCTACAGCTTAGGAATTTTCATTTTGTTTTCACTCTAAGACTCTTAAAGTCTTTTTGAGTGTTCAAAACTATGCTCTTGGAAATCTTTATGACTACAAAATATGTTAAATGATATAATATAACATTATTATTGTTCCTTTTTTATGCTTAAATGATCTTTATGTTTAATTATTATGATCATGATGTAGATATTCTGACCTTGCACACCATCTATTGCCTATGCTACATATATATCATTTTTTATGCATTATGTTCCTACCTTTGCAAGTGATTGTAATCCATGCATATCTTCATTTTGATGATGCCAAAGTGGGAGAAATGTGTGTATGCATATCAACATTCTTGTCAATATTGATCATTGTCTAATATTACACTTTCGAAGGAGAAAAGATACACATATACACAATATTTGTACTCAAACAAACATTTTCATAACATTTTTGGAGAAAAGCATGTTTGATACACGCATAAGTTGAGGGGGAGCCTCACTCAATGACCTTAAAATTCTTATAGATATATGCATAAATTTAGGGGGAGCATATGCATTTTGAATGTAATGTTATTGTTTAGCATGTTGGATGATTTATGTTTTTGAGATTGTAGATGTTTTGTCATTATTTAAAAGGGAGAGAATGTTGATCCATTGCTTATATAAGCATGGTTTTGATGATGATCAAAGCATCTACACTATGATCTAATGTGAAATTTGGATGCTTAGTTAATTGAGTGAAAGAAAGGAAGAAAGGGATGTGAAAACCTAGAAGTGCATAAGGGACAAAGTGCAGAGCTGAACCGATAGGCACTACAAGACATCTGGCATGCCAAATGTGGAACCAATAGCTCCTGAAGATCACATAAGTTCTAGCATAAAAGGTTGAACTAACAGGGTCTGCAAGTGATCCAGTCTGCCAGATGAGAGGAACCAGCATGCCAGTTCAGTGAAGTGGCATGCCAGATGGGAACCTGTAGCCTTAGCAACTTATAGTATCTCCTTGCCTAGATGGATCTTTAAGATTCTGCAGGCATTAGGCATGTCAGCTCAACATCCGGTAGAAGTCTTGCCTTGACTGTCGATGATCTGGTTTGTTGGCCCGATATGCCGGATTGGGAACTGGTATACCGGTTCTAGATCGTTATGCATAGTAACAACTAGTTTTTTGAATTTTTTGGGTCCAAGTATAAATAAGGGTCTTCAATGTATTTGAGAGAACTTTTTCAAAATTGTATTGATGAGCTAGAAGCCAAAAGAGAAAGTGATCAAGAGAAAGTGTGGTATATACACTCTTCTTGTCTTAACTTAGATTGAGAGAATCATATTGTAAAAACAAGAAAGAGTCTGGTAGAGTGTATTTCTTGAGTGAAGCTTACAAAAAATTATATTTGTATTGTACTCAACGAAGAGAGAAGTTGTAAGGGTTTGGGATCTCACCCATTTATGAGTCTAAAGCTAAAGAGTGGGAATGTCCAAGGGGAGAAGGAAGAAGAGGATGTAGGCCAAGTGTTGGAGATGAACCTCTATATAGAACAACTGACCCACTACCCGTTCCAATACCTGATCAATAAATGCGAGTGGAAAGTGGCTTTACAAGTGACTGAATTTATCCTCCTATATTTTACACACATTCTCCACCTAATTATAACTCGAGTAGGAATCAACTCATTGTTCTCATTGGCTACCACAGTCACCTCAGACTTTAAGGTACTACTTGCATGGGGTTTACCCATTTGCTATCAGCAATTGGGTAGATGATTCCCACATCTGGTAGCTTAACGACTTCAAATCTAACCACATCCTTTTGGATCAGATTCAAGCTATGTTGTGGTTGTTCATATGGCTTAGACTCATCCTCTAAGTAAATTTGTTTGTGTACAAATAAGGGGCTAATGCCCTTAAGGTCGGCTATAGTCCAAACGGCTCTCTTGTGAGCCTCAAAACACTTAACAACCTATATTCTTACTTTGGTTCTAAAGATGAACTATCCATGTATCTGGAAAGGTTTCATTACTACCTATATATGCATATTTAAGTGTAGATGGTAGTGACTTCAATTCTAATGTAGGTGGCTGAATGGCAGATGGTAAACTCCTTCTCTTTAGAAGGTAATTCTTCAAACTTTGGCAACCAACTACCTAATTCATAGACTTCTTCAAAATTAAGGCTTTCTTCCAGAACTTCCTCCACTTTATCATTACTAAAATCAAATATATGTTGTCCTTCAATGGTATCAATCATTCTTACCACATAAAGTTCCCTTTCATCACCTAGTTGCTTGCCAATGTTGAACACATTTAAATCTAGTCTCATATTCCCAAATGTGAGCTCCAAAATTCCATTCCTACAATTAATAATGACATTAGATGTTGCAAGAAACGGTCTTCCTAAAAGAACTGGAATTTGTGTTGATGAGTTGGTAACAGTTGTAATATCCAAAACTATAAATTCAACAAGAAAATAGAACCTATCCACTTGAACCAATACATCTCCCCTAGCTTCTTCACACTCCGGTCTGCAAGTTAGAGAGTAACGATGTAGGCTTCAACTCTCCTAAGCCTAGCTGCTTGTATAACAAGAAAGGTAGGAGATTCACACTCGCACCCTAGTCTCGTAGTGTTTGCTTAACCTGACAACAATGGTGGGACAATTGGGATTATTTGTACTTGGGTGGATTATTGGTTTGCAGAATAAAACTTACTTGCTTTGTCAAGAATGCTTTCTTCTAAAATTTAAATTCCTTTTGACAGTGTATAGGTCCTTCAAAAACTTTGGATAAGATGTCACTTGTTGAATAGCATCAAGTAAAAGAGTATTAATTTTTACTTGCTTAAATAAATCAAGGATTTCAGCATCGTTAGTTTGTTTAGTAGGCATCTTCAATCTATGAGGGTATGGTGTAGGAATAGGACATAGGTTTTCATCAAACTTAATAACCTTTGGCAACTCAAGTATTTCACTATCTTTAGAGTACACTGAATCTCTTTTTCTGTATGTTTAGAGACTTTAGGCATGATAGTTTTGTCAACCTCCTTTCCAATCCTAAGTGTACTGATTGACTTGAGTTGCTCTTCAGTGCTTTTAATGACATTAGAAGCTTTGATACCATGTTGACCCTTTTGATTTTCTTGGGCTTGTGCGAGAACATTTATTTTCTTGTTGAAGCACACCCATTGTATTGATCAACTTGGTCATCTGGGCTGGAATGTCATTGAAAGCGTGGACATTTTAATTGTTGATAGTAGTTTGACGTTGAATAAATTGATGCATAATGTCCTCTAACCTTCTCAATTCAACCTTGAGATGCATGCATGGGGGGCTGAGTACTTGTAGAAGAACTAGGACTGGATATTTATTGATTAACAGGAGGGGCAGAAGACATGGGAGCAGAAGTTGCAGGTGGTGTGTCATTGATTAAAAGTGTTCGATTAAGGAGAAAATTGCTGCCTCGATTGATTAAAGGCATTCACCTATTCTTGGAGCACTTTCTTAAAAGCAGGTATGGTTGGGCACTCCTTTACAAAATGCTCAATCGACTACAAATAGTACAAGGCTCCTCAACCAGAGGCACGCTGACCACCTCATTCACTTTCTTAACCTCGAGATTGTCCACTTTCCTAGATAAAAGTGCAATCTTGGCTAGTAAATCATCTAATCTCTTAAAATGTATTTTTCCACCCCAATGGATTGGTATATAGTGAAGGTTCTAAAATATTCCAAGGTTGGGCATTCTCTGCCAAACTCTCAAAGTAATCTTGAGCTTCCTTGGGCTCCCTGTTCAACAACTGGCCATTGCACATCTCGTTAATGAACTGGCGGTGTGTAGGGGTAATTCATTCATAGAAAAAGCTAACCAACTATCATGAAAGCCAAATGTGAAATAACATTTAAGAGATCCTTTGATTCTTCCCAACAGTCATAGAACTGCTCATTTGATTTTTCAGAAAAATTTTGTAGTTGTTTATTTAAAGCAGTAGTTTTATGAACTAGAAATTTTTTTTCAAGAACTCTTTTTTAAAACTAGCCCATGCAATCATCCTCCATTCTTTTCCAATAAATATAATTAAATCTTAGGGACAAAAAATAGAATTCATACACATCATAAAGCAGTACCTCAATGCTCTCCTACACGTCTCAAGACAACAAGGCTTGGAAGCTCTACACATCACAGGTGTCCCATGACTCACTATAGTTTTGACTCATTTACTTCTAAGCCCCACTTAATTCCTTTATTCGCATAATCACTATCAATTTTCCCGACACATATAAAATTGCATCCTAACTTTTACCATCTTTCATTTTCCATCCTTGGAGTTACTATTAACCATCATATTTTACTTCTCGTGATTTAATTAACTCTAATTTAACCCAAAAATTATCTATATTAAATTACACTTTCACCCCCACATTAAATAGAGTAACATAATATATGTGTTCGGGTCTCACAATTCTTTCCCTTTTAAAGAATTTTGTCCTCGAAGTTGACTTAGTACATCAGATTAGATACGGGTATCCTATTCACCCAAGCTTCATGTTCTTCCATGTTACTTCATCTACTAAAGGACTATGCTATAAAGGTTTAACAAATAAGAGGGTTCTTGTATACCACACATATGAACTCTAGTATTCTCCTTTTTGATTATATTTGCTTGGAGTGAATTTTTTTTTTTTTTTTGAATAGCCCTGTGTCACTTTCACTCTATCTATAGTCACATGTAACACTTCAGAATCCAACACCCTTTTCCTTTCTTCACATCAATCCAACACTCCTACGTCCTACATTACTTGTGACATGAAGCTTCATATGACACCATATCGATTCTTAATTGATAGCTACTATGATGAGCAAGTCTATCAACGATAGATAGTCATCTTAGCTACCTACGTACCCCCTCATACATAATTTTATCATATCCTTTAACACTTAAATGACCCACTCAGACATCTTGTTCACTAGAGGATGAAAACCATATTAAATCACAATGTGTTACTCA